ACACAAAGGACGTTATTACAGAAATATACTAGTTAAAGTAGATACAAGCGAAAGTAAGACCACTGCCGCATGGGCCAGTCCATGGCATACGATTAACTAATGCGCGTTGGTTGTACACGACCTTGACAGGGAGCGATGATCTGTTCGAAATTCAGTGATCCAACTGCCGGATGATTTGGCTAGGGCTCAGTGACATTTCACTGGCCCTACAGGTACATTATTTTTTGTGAAACACTCATGCGATACGTTCAACATTTTTCTTATGAATTATAATATTATTCTAATAACATTTACTATTATATAATTTCAATAGTTAGACAGTAATTACACTAACTAGTACATTTCTTTAACGTTGTCAGAATGATTTTAGCATTAAAATTTTGTTGATTGTCTATTAGACGCCTGTGTCACTAATGTTTTTTAAACAAATTGATTCCAAACAATTTGAATCTTTTGATTAATTACATTTAATAAACTATTTGAACATTAATTTTATTGCTTAGATCAATAATATGAACTGGTAAAACTATGTGTCGATGAGTTTCTCAATAACAGATAGGTTATGCTTTCTAGGAAAATTGTTTTAGAGTAAAACGAAGTTATATACACTAGAATTTGAAGTTCTCAATTACTTATATTTTTTGTAGTATAAGTTTTGGGACAGAAATTTTGCAATCATAGATCATATAACATAAATGCACTTCTGTCTATTGAAAAAAAAACATTACATTATAACTGAACTAATGAAATAACAAATTTAATGGTACCAGTTCCTTTCGAAAATATCGAAACTGTAAACCTCATTTTAGCATAAATTAAAAAAATTTAATTGGTTGGTAAATTTTAGAGGACTAAAGGATTTCTTTAGATAATCAAGTTTATACACAAGAAGAAAATCAATCATTTTACAACAATACGTACTTAGCATAAACAGTCGACTAATAATTGTCAGTGATCTAACTATAACTTTTGTTTAACATCGAAGGAAGACTTAAAGAATGCCTTTACAGATGAAAGACATATTTGTTTGAAAGTAGTCTGTATCAGAAATCGGTGTTAAATGAAGACCTATTGAAAAACAGTTATTACTAAATAGGTGTTTCACTGTTTGGGACCCCTCAGTAATACATACCTACAATGACACGTTGAACAGAATGCACGACTTTCAGATAACGCAGTGAATACGATATCACTAGTCAATTAAATCAAATGTTCATATTTCTTAGGTTTCAGCAATTCGTTACGTAAAATGAGCCTTCTCACTGATAAGTGACTTCACTACCCAGCTGAATAATATTACAGAGATTGATACTAGACATTTAAAAAAATCCATCTTCTATTCACATACTAGTGGGAACGTGTTAATAATAGATACGAAAAGGGTTTGGGAAGACATTTGTACATACTTTAAAATGATTATCATTTTAAAGTTTATTGAAGCCTTGGTTATACGAAAACTGAAACCTGCCTCATGCGTTCAAAAACAATTTGTCCTTACACTTAACCTACCCTGATAATATTGATTTATTGTCCGGGGTGGTAATCACATTGTTTTTGTGTACTATATTTTTTGTTACGGCTTACCTTTAACCTGTCTAGTTGACCTTTTACTTTTCATATAAAAATGTCTTAACAAGTATATGTGTGGTCAGATTGTTCGAAAATGTATTGCGTAAATATATCACATAATTCTAATGAAGTTCATCTTCTCATTGCATTATCGAACTTTATCAAAGGGACTAATTGTTTTAGATTACCATTTCAAAAGTTTCTAATCTATAGCCTAAAAAACATTCTTTTGAATTTTTCGTATATCAACAAACTGGATATTTTAAAATTAATTTAGGGATAATCATAATTTAAGAAAAGATAGAAATTTACAAAATGTTTCGATTAATTTCCATTCTAGTAAATATTAGTAACAAACAATCATTCAATTAGCATAATATGGAGAGAAAAAATAGTAAGCAACCTAACTTATTTGTGAAATTATTATTCTAAGGAGTTCTTTAAAATGTTTACTATTTAGTCAGTTAATATTTTTATTGATAAAATCAGGCTTTGTTTAAAAACAAATTAAAGTCAGTCAGTCAGTTACAACGTAGGACCTGGCATATATATGCATCGGTCCAAGTTACCACACCTCATTAGCACTACAAGACGAACACCGAATTCATGAGAGCAGTTAACTCAATGGTGTCATATATAAAGGAAAGATTTTATGTAAGGATATAGTACAGAAAGAAAGAATTAGTTCGTAGAAAGAAAGATATGAAATAACTTTAATAACGCGATAGCGTTTGAAGAAAAGGGTACTGGGTTCGAATCCGATAGTGAACAACAACTCTGTGATGCAGGTACACCCAGCTGGTGAGTCCTAAATAGAACAAAACGCGCGTCCTGGATTCTACCACTAGCGACCATCTATCTCTGTTTATAAGAATACTCAGTGTAATGAAAAAAATGATTGTTAGTTCAGGTAGTTGCTTTTGGTGGTATTATGTTCTTTGGGCTTCATGATTCAATTAGAAAACTTACAGAATCTCTATTGTTTCCTTCAGATAGAAGTTGGTTTATTTTTAGATATTCGATTCATGCTAAGAAAAACCCCATTATGATAACTTGATTCGTGTTGCCCTCATAAGGGTTATTTTCTTAAAGTGCCAATTATTCCTACTGATTATTACGTCCAGTCTAGCTCTGACCACGAAGTTAGTTGACCTTGTTGATAGATGAGATCTATGATATGTTTATTGATTGCAGTAATTTCAACAGTTGAGATCATGAGTCTATTGAAGCTAAACCACCATGGAAAACCTGGAAGCACTGGACGGCCGTTTTGTCCTATTGTGGGACTCCTCAGCAGTGCGCATCAACGACCCCGCCCCTAGGGATCCAAACCCAGGACCTACCAGTCTCGCGCCAGGCGCTTAACCAACTAGACCACTGAGCCGGCATCCAACGGTGTTACCGTCTAACTTCAACTAATCCACGAAATTAAGCGACACATCCACCATTGTCATCAGTGAGTTACTACCTCACAACTGACCCGAATAAACTCCACTGGTCACTGCTGCTCACTAGGGCTCCAGGATATATCTCTTGAAGCCAGTCACTAGCGAGCATATGTTGATTAAGTATCAGAAGGGGTTTTGTGGAGATTGTAGTCCCACAATAGGACGAAACGGCCGTCCAGTGCTTCCAGGTTTTCCATGGTGGTCTATTTATTATTTATTTATTTATTTGAACACATAAATATTGGTGCAAGAATGCGCCAAATATACATGCGCCACACAGAACAATGAGAATTTAAGGGGAAGGAAGAAAAGAGAATAACAACGAAGAGGTTTATGTGAGGTGGTGTAATAATAATAATAATGGTGAAAATGGGGGAACGGAAAGGTACAATCAGAAGAAATCTTTCAAGTAAGGGAGACAACCACTTTTTATGAAGATAGTAAAAGAAGGTTACAGCAGGATCGCCACTGGTTTCTATTCTGAGCCATCTCTGATAACGTCTCTAGCCACTGTGTAGCACCATCTCTCAGACCCCAACCAGGGAGTCGTGAAGGACCAACAGAAGCCAGTCCTTTACAGCTTTCTTTCATAACACGACACCATGTCATGCACTGACCACCTCTCCGCTTCTTCCAACCAGTCCCAGAGTCGGCAAATAATGCACGACGTGGAATTCTCTGGGACGACATTCGTAGAGCATGTCCAAGCCATCGAAGTCGGTGTTTCAAGATGGTGACACCAATTGAATTATCATCTCTGTGCCCGGACACACGATGCCGAACCTCTGCATTACTAACATGAGGTTGCCACTGAATGTCAGCAATCCTTCGGAGACAGCGATGATCGAACACAGAGAGTCGTCTAACGTCCTCAACTCGGAGAGACCAGGTTTCACAAGCATAGAGCAAAACTGCTCTCACCGACGCGTTGTAGATCCGACCTTTTACAGCCAGACTAACATCACGAAGGCGCCAAAGATGGCCCAGATTGGCATAAGCCGCTCTGGCTTTCACTATACGTGCATTGATCTCATCACTCACACCCCCACCAGCACTTATGCAGCTACCCAGATACACGAACTTCTCGACTACTTCTATCTGCTCACCATCCAGGGTGAGTACAGGATTAGAATCCTGCCAGTCTTGTAGAAGTACTTTGCACTTCGAAGGTTCAAAGCTCATACCATACCTACGGACACTGATTGCCAATTGATTAAGTGCGGATTGCATGCCTTGGGCATTATCGCACAGTAAAACAATATCACCCACATACTCAAGGTCGAGAAGTCTTTCTCCGGACAACAGACCCACACCACCATTACTTACATCCATCAGAGCTGTTTCCAGAATGTCGTCGATAGCAAAGTTGAAGAGGAATGGTGAGATTGGGCAACCCTGTCTAACCGCACTGCTTGAATGGAACAATGGAGAAAGGTGGTTGTATGCCGTCACTCTGCCTGAGGTGTTTGTATATAGGGCTTTTAGGGTGTTAATAAACTTCTCAGGCACACCCTTCTTCAATAGACAATCCCACAGAACAATCCTGTCCAACGAATCGAAGGCAGCCCTGATGTCAAGAAACACTACGATTGTTGGCCTGTGATAAGTATGGCGGTGTTCTAACATTTGGCGGAGGGTGAAGATATGATCAATACATCCTCGACCAGAACGAAACCCAGCCTGCTCCTCGCGAGTCAATCTTTCTCGGGTTTTGAACAACCTACGAAGTATGACGGAAGCCAATAGCTTGGACGCAATCGGAAGTAGACTTATCCCCCGATAGTTGTTACAGGAACGACGTGAACCCTTTTTAAAGATAGGGACAACTATCGACTCATTCCATGACGTTGGTACACTCTCTAGTTCCCAAACCTTTGTAAACAACGTCGTCAATTCCTTAGTCAGAAAGTCACCACCATCTTTAAAAAGAGCCGGAGGTAAGTCATCTGAGCCAGGTGATTTGTAGCGCTTCAAAAGTTGGAGTTACTTGCGGACTTCCTCCTCGTTTGGTGGACCAGTCGTTACCGGCCATGGAGGGCAGGACAGTCTGACCGATGTTGCCGGAGCAGCAGGCCAGTTGAACTGCCCTTCGAAAAATTCTGCCCATCGTCCAAGACGTCGATGGATGCTAGTGACTGGCATCCCATCATCCTCGTAGATTGTTTCGCTCACACCAGACTTCTTGCTGCCAGTGGCTCGGATGAGTTGGAAGAGCTTCCGGCAGTTACCAGATGCAGCTGCTGCTTCCAGCTCATTAGCACGCTTCGACCACCAGGCTTCTCGGTCCTTACGCAAGCTTTGCCCAATTTCCTTACGTAACATCCTTCGTTTATGGTCAAACTCACGGTCACCCGGAGTAGACCGATGGGCTTCAGTGAGTTGTAGGGAACCCGAAGAAACTCAGTGCTCATAAGCGGGACGTTTCGCGAACCCACAACTGACTGTACCCGCCATTTTCATGGCGTCATGCAATTGCAACCAATGCTCATCTATACTTTTCGGTGGAATGGTAGCTGGTTAGAGGCTAGCTCGGTTCGATACTTACTTGCAACAGAAGTTGCAACCAGCTTGCTAATATCAATCCGTTGACGGCGGTCACTTCGTTGTCCACTGAAAAGTAAGACAAAATTGGCGCAGACCAAGGCATGGTTAGAGTCCAGATAGGTACTCCAAAAGGAGCGGCAGTCTTGTACACAACCACGCCAGCAGTAGCTGATCGCGATGTGATCAATCTGAGTCCGGGCTTGAGATGCAGAGGGAGGACGCCAGGTGGCACATCGGCGATCACTGTGCCGAAAGTTAGTGCTAGCCAGAAACAGGTTGTGGTCTGTGCATAGTTGCAGTAGACGGTCCTCGTCATCTGACCTGCGACCAACAAGTCCCCATTGGCCACCTAAACGACTCTCTTCTGTGCCTAGACGCCCGACCTGAGCATTCAAGTCTTCGGCTAGTACTACAATATCTGTCGAACGCACTTTCTGGAGAAGAACAGATAACTGGTGGTAAAACTCATCCTTGATTGCATCCGGGCTGCAATCTGTCGGAGCATGGGCGGAGATGACGAAGAGACATCGTCTCTCACACCGATTTCTTCTCACTTTGATGGAACTCTCTAATCTAACAGCACATAACCGACTGTTAATGGGGATCCAATCGACTAGTGCTGCCTCAGCTCTAGCGCTTAGTGCGACACCAACGTCAGCAAGACCAGACGAAGATGCCACAGGGTCCCCGGATAAACGCACGTAAAACAAGCTTTTTGAAGTGACAGATGTAGAGCGAATTTGTAGTACTTCACCAGTCTTGAATACGGGTCTCAGATAGACAGCAAACATCGATATGAAGGCTTTCTAAAGACATAGCCAGCCCTATCTGTTGTCCAATCTGCTTAGTGTGCAAACGTTGAAGGCAGCCAGTTTGAATGGTGCACGTGGTTTCAGAAAAACTGCTTGAGTACTCATATTTGGTGGTAACATACAATTTTCAACTGGACAGTGACTCGAGAACGTTTAGATAGAGTCGAATTTCCACCAAAGACGAGCCGCTGCAAAAGTATAAAAGAGGGTGAATAATGTGGAAAATAATAATAATAATAATAATAATAATAATAATAATAATAATAATAATAATAATAATAATAATAATAATAATGACAATAATAATAATAATAATGACAATAATAGTAAGAATAATAATAGTATTAATGACAATAATTGTAATGATAATAATTTGAATCAATTGATTGTTTTTCGAAGCGAGAAAAGTAGTTTCCATAGACATAGAGAGTTCATCATTTGTGTGTGGGCAGTGATACTGTCCGGGTGCCCAAACCGAAGCATGTGGTTATCTTAGGGGGCCACTCCCCGAGCCTTTGACCTAAAGGTTTAACCCACAAGGCAGTGGAGCATCGTAAGGAGATGCAGTCCCATGGTAGCCGGTGACCAACGATTGGTTCATACGCCATTTGTTTCCGCAGGATACTGGAGCCCATGTGCACCATTGGTTTGTGATCCGGTTAAAGCGCCGGACATTCGCTTTTCGTCCTCTCATTTTCGTAAACAACACCCCCGCCACGAGAGGGCAATGAGTAGGACTTGCCTGGCAGAGGCTGTATACGCCTGGCCGTGTGAGAACATTTCGGGAGGGAGAGCGGACCCACCCCTCTCTCGGCCATACCAGGGCATTCGGGGGCTTAAATGTTGCACACCACCACCAGTCGTCTTACCATCGACCGACCTGATCGCCCGACCGGTTGTGAGCAGAGAGCGTTGGAGGTGCCGGGGACCTTTTTGTTATAATTTATAGAGAAATATCAAGTTTTAATCACTGTGAACCTACTGGACATGTTGTACTACTTTATAAATAAAGTTATAATAAAGACCTTATTTTCAATTTTATTAACATATAAAAGCTCATTTACAAGAATGTAAGAATGATATTATTTTGTCTGTACTTAACAATATGAAACGATTTAAGCTAGACAGATAATCATTAAAAACGAGAAAACAATGAACAACTTTACCTTAGTAATGGATTTCTCAGTAGTGTGCACTCATAATCCATGTACGGACGTAACAGGGATTTCAGACTTCGTAGGAGTTCCGAATTTTTAAGCTACTTAACACCTAGTAGTTTACATTTTCTGTTTTCAGTCAACTAGCGATATTACACGAATATCATCCTTTGTCATCGATGATAACTGTCACACTTATAACATCTCTATAAACCTCTCATCCTAATTCTATAGTATTTATCAAAGTTCTCCTATACCTATCTCATGTTATCAGTCTCTTTCAAAGCTGAAAAACTTTAAAAACTCCCTCTCTCAAACCTACTCTTGGTAGTCTCCCTCACTGTCTTGATTGTAGCATATACTATTGTTCAAGAGTTGAAATTAGTTCAGTGTAACAAACCCATCTCATTCATATAATTCCAGGTACTTCGTAATGTCTTCGGTTTTTTCCCCCTACCTTGCCAAAAGTATATAAATGATTGATATATTTCTTTCCTGGTTTATTGTTACTTATAAAAATCATTGCAGTAATAATAGCAGTAATCAATTTGATCTCATTTGTGCTCATTGAGTAATTCTACTCATGAAATCTTTTGAATATTCAGATTCTTTTTGTTTTATTTAGAAATGACACTGTTCTCAATTTTAGAGTACTAACTTAGTGAAATCATTTTACTATGTACATTATTATTTGGACAGACAATAACAATATTAAGATATAATCATCGATTTATGAGTAAAATAAAGAAAAAAATGATTAATTTATTTTAAGATAAAAAAAAGTTGAATAAACACCCATTTAGTGAAAGTAATAACAACGATGCTCCGATGAAAAAGATCATACACACACAGGCGCAATAATTTGTTTGCACGATAAAATGCGAAATTTTTTGTGTAAAAAGGGAGATAAATTAACTTGTATTTTATGATGATCGGCTAATGGATAAAAAGCAATAGTAATAATAATTATTATTATATAAGCATAATTATTTCATTATCATGCTGAATTTCACTGATCTACAACAATAAAGTATACTAGATTAATTTTTCAAACAAACTGCATCACGAAAATAATTGAAAGTCATATCCAATATTTTAATTGGATTTTTTAATATCAATATCAATACTTGGTCATGAATAAGAATTATCTTCATGTTAATCAACAAACTGAATCACAAAAAACCCTAGTGATAACTATTAACTTTGATTTCAGATGAGGATGCTGAAGCTCCAGTTATGAAAGGGGAACTACTTGATGTGGATAGGACCATTAAATCTCAATATAATTTAGTTACAAACTGAAAACAAAATTCTAATTATTTCAGATAGAAAAGTGTTTGATTTGTTTTGATCTGTTTATATCTTTCTGTATCATTATTGACTGGTTTAGACGATTTCGCCTAGACATCGTGTATTTTTACTTATCTCACTGTTTCTCCTATAATTTGGTTAAAAATACTGAATAATCCCATTTTTTCTTGTTTTAATTAATGTCCATTATACCTGACATACAAGTACCTCATTGAGTCACCTATTTTCTTGAATATGTACTATTCTGATTGGATTGTTCTAGTCAACTTTAAACATGACTACAAGACTTGTACAATTAATTTACAAGAAAATAAAGTCACTTGCTTCAAAATTATATTGAAATAATCTTTTAATATGTGTACAAAATCTATTTGTTATAATGAGATTCTGTCAAGAAAACAATTAATATACAATATATTAAAATATTGAACAACTCAATTTGTAGCGTTTTTCCTTGAAAAAACAAATTTTAACCAATCTCTTCCTGATGTATAGTAGCTTGATAGAACTTCCTCGAATGTGATGCTCATTTCTTTTTCTCTGTATTTATTCTCTTTGTTAACTACATTCTTTTTTCTATCATGATGTTCACAAAAAAAAAACATGTTATCTATCAAATTGTTAGGAAAAAACTATATGTGTATACATCATAGAAATAACTCATTGAATGGATACAATTTATGTAGATTAAAATATTTTAAAAGTACTAACAATTATTGATAAATAAATGTATATAATATTACTTATAAATTATCCTTTAAGTACATTTCACCTAGACTATTTATTATAGTTTGCTCAAACCATATTTACATTAACTTGAACTAATTATTTGAAATTATAAATCGAAATATCCAAATATTAGGTTAAGTGTATTAAGTTTAATTAACATATATATATAATATATTCAACAGTTGAGATCATAAGTCAATTGAAGCTAAACCACCATGGGCCCCCGAATGCCCTGGTATGGCCGAGAGTGGGGTGGGTTGTTTACGAAAATGAGAGGACGAAAAGCGAATGTCCGGCGCTTTAACCGGATCACAAACCAATGGTGCACATGGGCTCCAGTATCCTGCGGAAACAAATGGCGTATGAACCAATCGTTGGTCACCGGCTACCATGGGACTGCATCTCCTTACGATGCTCCACTGCCTTGTGGGTTAAACCTTTAGGTCAAAGGCTCGGGGAGTGGCCCCCTAAGATAACCACATGCTTCGGTTTGGGCACCCGGACAGTATCACTGCCCACACACAAATGATGAACTCTCTATGTCTATGGAAACTACTTTTCTCGCTTCGAAAAACAATCAATTGATTCAAATTATTATCATTACAATTATTGTCATTAATACTATTATTATTCTTACTATTATTGTCATTATTATTATTATTATTATTATTATTATTATTATTATTATTATTATTATTATTATTATTATTTTCCACATTATTCACCCTCTTTTATACTTTTGCAGCGGCTCGTCTTTGGTGGAAATTCG